GACGTGGGTGGCGCTGTGGCTTGCCGATCGAAAGGTCGGCGGTTCGAATCCCCGCGGCGTGGTGCGCTCCCGGTGCTTGGTCCCAGCGCCTGCCAACCTAGCAGTTCGAAAGCACCCCCGGGTGCAAGTAGATAAATAGGGACCGCTTACTGGCGGGAAGGTAAACAGCGTTCCGTGTGCTGCGCTGGCTCGCCAGATGCAGCTTTCTCACGCTGGCCACGTGACCCGGAAGTGTCTCCGGACAGCGCTGGCCCCCGGCCTCTTAAGTGAGATGGGCGCACAACCCTAGAGTCTGTCAAGACTGGCCCGTACGGGCAGGGGTACCTTTACCTTTACCTTTAAAGGTAAAGGTACCCCTGCCCGTACGGGCTAGTCTTGCCAGACTCTAGGGTTGTGCGCCCATCTCACTCTATAGGCCGTGGGCCAGCGCTGTCCGGAGACACTTCCGGGTCACGTGGCCAGCGTGACATCGCTGCTCTAGCGAGCCAGAGCCGCACACGGAAACGCCATTTACCTTCCCGCTAGCAAGCGGTCCCTATTTATCTACTTGCACCCGGGGGTGCTTTCGAACTGCTAGGTTGGCAGGCGCTGGGACCGAACGACGGGAGCGCACCCCGCCGCGGGGATTCGAACCGCCGACCTTTCGATCGGCAAGCCCTAGGCGCTGAGGCTTTTACCCACAGCGCCACCCGCGTCCCCTACCTTTACCTTTAGATCCATATAAATCTACATATTCATATATTGCTATGATTATTATTAATTTTATAGATTGTATCTTATGGATAAAAATAATAATAATTATAGATTGTATCTTATGGATCCATCAAGAAGGCTGATCGCCGAAGAATTGATGCTTTTGAATTGTGGTGCTGGAGGAGACTCTTGAGAGTCCCATGGACTGCAAGAAGATCAAACCTCTCCATTCTGAAGGAAATCAGCCCTGAGTGCTCACTGGAAGGACAGATCCTGAAGCTGAGGCTCCAATACTTTGGCCACCTCATGAGAAGACTCGACTCCCTGGAAAAGACCCTGATGTTGGGAAAGATGGAGGGCACAAGGAGAAGGGGATGACAGAGGATGAGATGGTTGGACAGTGTTCTCGAAGCTGCCACCATGAGTTTAACCAAACTGCGGGAGGCAGTGGAAGACAGGAGTGCCTGGCGTGCTCTGGTCCAGGGGGTCACGAAGAGTCGGACACGACTAAACAACAATAACAATCTTATGGATAAAAATAGTCTAGGGATTATTATTTTTTTAAGCTTACTTGGTGACCCCAAAGGGAAACTCTGTGCCTGGTGAGCCTTCCTTGGGAGAGAACTCAGTAAGCAGAATAACAGCATTCTGGGAAGACCCTCTTCCCAGTCACCACCCACATACCGTATTGGCCAAATATAAGCCGCACCCACAAATAAGCCGCATACCGTATTGGCCCAAATATAAGCCGCACCCACAAATAAACTGCACCTTTAAAATTTGGCAGCTTGGGGGAGGCGTGGGAGCTGCAAGTGGGTTGAGCGTCACTGGGGGGGGGGAGCCACGCCTGTTTGCCGGTGGCGTAAGGTTGCGAATATTAGCAGTGCCGGATTTATGTATAAGCTAAACAAGCTATAGCTTAAGGCCCCACTCTCTTGGGGGCCCCCCAAAAAAAATTAAAGGAAAAAAAACCTGGATGTACATTTCCAAAATATAAGATAATAAATAAAATAAAACCTACACACAACAACAGTGTTTTGTGTTGTGTAGGCTCCTATGATGCAAGTCATGGGCCCTGCCTGCTAGCCTGCTCCCTAAAATATCACTCGTTTGCTCAGTTCTATATATAGGGTGCCTACAGCGCTGTGGGTTAAACCACAGAGCCTAGGACTTGCTGATCAGAAGGTCGGTCGTTCGAATCCCCGCGACGGGGTGAGCTCCCGTTGCTCAGTCCTAGCTCCTACCAACCTAGCAGTTCGAAAGCATGTCAAAGTGCAAGTAGATAAATAGGTACCGCTCTGGCGGGAAGATATACGGTGTTTCCGTGCACTGCTCTGGTTCGCCAGAAGCGGCTTAGTCATGCTGGCCACATGACCCGGAAGCTGTACACAGGCTCCCTCGGCCAATAAAGCGAGATGAGCGCCGCAACCCCAGAGTCGGCCACGACTGGACCTAATGGTCAGGGGTTCCTTTATCTTTATATTCTGCATGGACTGGTTGCATGGGAACATGAGCAAATGGCTTTAGATACCTCTTAGGTCCATAAATTACCACATAGCATATATTCAACACACACAAAAACAGTGACAATTTGTTGTTGACAAAGGACAGCTGGACATATAAAGGGCCCCATTACCTTCAGTAGCTTAGGTCTTCATCAAACCTAAATCCAGCCCTGAATATAAGCCACACTTCTAACTTTTCACGATTGGAATTTGGGGGGGGGGAGTGTGGCTTATATTCGGGCCAATACAGTAATTTCTAAAGATGGGCACTCCGGAAGAAAGGTCTGTGGCTATTGTACTATCAGGCAAACAGGTTGATGTGGTTATGCTTGGCATTCCTTCATGTATGCCCGATTCCAAACAGTATAGGGTTTTAAAAGTAAGCACTAGCACTTCAGACTGTCCTTTGAAACAGGCCAGGATTCATTGAAGATATTTGATTCTGCTGATTGGTCCCAGTCAAAAGCCTTTCAGCTGTGCTCTGAACTAGCTGTAGAATTCCAGGGCTTTTTCAGTATCAAAGGTTTGCAAAATTTCAAAGAATTTTGAAACCTCGTTCCAGAGGATGCATATATAGTGTTTTAGGTGGATAATCACAAGCACAGTGTAGGACTTGACTTGGTATTAGTATATACCGTATTTTTCGCTCTATAAGACGCACCAGACCACAAGACGCACCTAGTTTTTGGAGGAGGAAAACAAGAAAAAAAATATTCTGAATCTCAGAAGTCAGAACAGCAAGAAGGATCGCTGCGCAGTGAAAGCAGCAATCCCTCTTGCTATTCTGGCTTCTGGGATAGCTGCGCAGCCTGCATTCGCTCCATAAGACGCACACACATTTCCCCTTACTTTTTAGGAGGGAAAAAGTGAGTCTTGTAGAGCAAAAAATACAGTAGATAAGGTGAATTGGCTCATCTCAAAGTATTCTACTATCCTGAAATCCCTTGTGAGGAAAAAAAAAAGTCATTTGTTCAACTGTTATTTGCTGTGTTATTAGTTCACATGACATCATTTATAGCTGAAATTAGATCGTTCGGTATCAGTGTTGATACTCTGGATGAAACAGGACTTCACTAATTAATCTTGACATTTTCAGCCACAATTATTTTCTTATATAAAGTGGCTTTAACTAGATGGTGACATTCAGATTCAGTTTCAGTTCCTGATACAGGGAGCGGGAGGGTCTGTTCCACCCAAATATATAAAAAAGTGATGAAGAGTCAATATGTTTCTAATTCTATCCCAATAAGTTAGTGTTGTCCATTTTAGAATATCATTTATGAAAGTGATGCCATGTCAAAATACGTTTAGATCAGGCATAGGCAAACTCCAGTCCTCCAGATGTTTGGGACTACAATTCCCATCATCCCTAGCTAACAGAACCAGTGGTCAGGGATGATGGGAATTGTAGTCCCAAACATCTGGAGGACCCGAGTTTGCCTATGCCTGGTTTAGATTCATGCTCGTCCTGATAATGTTTCCATTTAAACAACGTGGGTTGTTGTTAACCATAATTTCCCTACGGTTCCAAGATTTTCCTCAATAATCCTTCTGACCAGAAAGGACCCATGCCTGACTTCCCTAGGCTCATTTTGACAGATATGGAGTTCACCCATGGACATCCTTCCTATTTTCCTTTCAGGCTGAAAGAATTGTTAAATATATATATATTAACAAGGTTTGGATCCAGATTTCTCAGAAGTAGAGTTCTGCTCACAAGGAAAGGGGAAGATGGTAGCTTTGCAAATCCCCTCCTGCAACTCTCTGAAAATCTGCTCTCGGGGACCCTCTGAGGATTGGGGTACCTTCCAGAGCAACTGAGAGGTTTCATGGAGGAAAGGAAATAGCCAATAATATCCCCGCCATCCTTTCTCCTCAATACAATATGATGCGATATCTTTATTGTCATTGTCCCATACAGAACAACGAAATCTACATAAGACATTCAAAACCCCCTAAAAACTCTGAAACCCCATTTTAAAATACAATATACTCCTATAGAGACTCCTTATACTGTGTTTAAAACCAGAATTGCATTTGGGTAGAAACTGTTTCTCAGGTGGCTACTCCTAGTCTTTATAACCCTGTACCTTCTTCCAGAAGGCAGAAGCTGAAAGAGATCATTTCCGGGGTGCGCACTATCCTGCGCTGTCTCTGCCGCTTTCTTATGGCACCTGGCAGCATAGATTTGATCTAAGGTGGGAAGAGTGGACCCAATTATTCTCTCTGCAGTCTTTACAACCCTGGACAGCATTGCTTTTTCCCTGGCCGTGCAGCTCCCAAACCACACACACAGACCATAAGTTAATACACTCTCCACAGTACAATGCTGGAATGCCATCAACAGGACCTTTGAGAGATTGTTTTTCCAGAGGATTCTTCACCGCTAGGTTGGAGGCCCTTGCAGAAAGGCACGTCTACATTGCACTCACTATGTTCAGCTACATTTATCAGGATTTTTTTTAAAAATGAATTTGCTGTAAGGAAGTTCTGCTCTTTCCACTTTCCACTTTCTGCTCACATATGGGGGTTTAGGTGTATGTGTCTCATTTGCTTCCCCCCTTTCTATCCTGCCTTACCATTCTAACTGCTTCATGAAACGGTGGAAATAAAGCAACATCAGATCATGCCTTTTCAAGTCTTGTTGCAGCAGAGGTATGGAGCAGTTGTTGGCATCAGTAAGGCTGGAATTCCTAGACGTTTGCTTTTCGGTTTGGAGTGTAATCCATAAGTATTAACAACTGCTCTAAATCCAAATCATATTATTTAACATTAAAATGCACATTTTCAAAATCTCTTTAGGGTTTGACCCACTCGTCTTCAGAAGATTGGGATCTTGCTGCACACAGCGAAGTGCTGGCGTCTCAGAAAACAAAATTCATTTTCAAGTATGTATGAATATGTTTATATTTCATTTCTACTGTACCTTATCTTTTTTTACTTTTTTAAAAGAAAAACCTCATACATCTTTTGTATGTGTGTATGTATGTATGTATGTATGTATGTGTGTATTTATGTATGACTCGTGGCATTCTGCCTATTGTAGATCAAATAATATAGTTCCTTAAATCAATTTGTTGAAGAGAAATGGCAGATATTTACACCGGGTAGATTTCAGGATGCTTGGAAGCCTCTATATTGTCACATTACCTGGGGCCAAACTAGATGTGACATGGGAGATATATGCCTAGGCCTTCCAATTTGCTTAAAGTAACTGCGGGGCAAGGATGGGAAAAACAGGGTTTGCATAGTGGGCAGAGAGGATTTTAACTTTCTCCAGCATGTGATTTCCCCAACCCCTCTCTCCAAGCTTCTGTTAGCTCTGGAAGGGGGAAAAAGTTAGATGTCTGCCCCCAACCCCAGGCTAATAGTAACCACGGTGGTGTTTTTAATTGGAGTATACTGCATTGTGGGATGGGGAGAAAAGGTTAACTCCCTCATTTCCATGTAACCCCCTGTGTAACTCACAAACCTCCCCCTGAGACTGGTTTCAAACATGGAAGAAGGCATTGTGAGATCTACTCATGAAACTCCCATACCGTTGGGTCATGCTAGAAATCCAGAACGGAAAAAGCGACATGAGTTCTTATAATGCAAAATTCAAATGGCAGCTGATATACAGTGGTACCTCTGGTTATGTACTTAATTTGTTCTGGAGGTCCGTTCTTAACCTGAAACTGTTCTTAACCTGAAGCACCACTTTAGCTAATGCGCCCGCTGCCGCCGTGCCGCAGGAGCACGGTTTCTGTTCTCATCCTGAAGCAAAGTTCTTAACCCGAGGTGCTATTTCTGGGTTAGCGGAGTCTGTAACCTGAAGCGTATGTAACTCGAGGTACCACTTTATTCAAGTTGGCACCCCTGGATGAGTTTGGGCATTCACTATTTGGCCTTGCTCTCATATCACAGTAAAGGCCTGTAGATTACTAAAAAGGTAAAGGTAAAGGTACCCCTGACCATTAGGTCCGGTCACGGACGACTCTGGGGTTGCGTGCTCATCTCGCTCTATAGGCCAAGTGAGCCGGCATTTGTCCTGCAGACAGCTTCCGGGTCATGTGGCCAGCAAGACTAAGCCGCTTCTGGCAAAACCAGAGCAGCGCGCAGAAACACTGTTTACTTTCCCTCCAGAGCGGTACCATGTCTGTGTCCTCTCCTGCTGACCCTGACTGTAATGAAATAGCATTTCACCAGCATGTATGTAATTGCAAGTCTCTCTCCCTGCTCCCTAATTTGCCGCTCTCATTCTTCACCATGCTTTCTTCTGCTCTTTCTTTATATCATCATATCATTCTGCTTCAGCTAAACCAAATTAAGAACAGCATGGTTCAAATGAGAGCGTTAGTTTTGGTGGGTGGTGGATAAAAAGATGGAGGAGATGGAACAGCCGATCTCTGACCCGCTGATGGCTTTGAACTGCAGGGGAAGTGATAGTAAGATTTGGGTGGTGGGGGAGCAGGCGTATTATGTTAGCGGTAACCTTTCTGCATGGCTGCCACCTTCAATTATGTTACATTTGCATTACTCGCTTTGGCGTTTTTTGAATTCAAGGATCTCTGTGGTCAGATCATTAACGAGCAGGAAGCAACGAGTTTTCCTAATCAGATAAAGATTTGCCAAATATAAATATTCTGGTAAGAAGGTGCCTTGTTCTCCTATCTGATTTTTAAACCTTTTACGGTGACAGTGGTGAGGCGGTTAAGAGCACCTGACTAAAAACATCAAATCTGGGAGCATACTCTCAAATTCAGAACTGCTTGCGATTTTTGCATTCTAGGTGGTTTTAAGGAAGTCTCAGTGGCAGTGTTGAAAACCGCAGCTACCTGGTAACTGAATGGAGCTAGATTTAGCACTAATAATAATAATAATAATAATAATAAATTTTATTTATACCCCGCCCGCCCCGGCCAGAGCTTGATCCGGCCAGGGATCAAGGCAGCTAACACCAGTAAAATTACAATAAAAACTTAATGGGGGTGGGGGAAACCCCAATTTAAAATACAGGTTAAAATGCAATTTAAAATGCAGCCTCATTTTAAAAGTAGCCCATAGATCAAAACCATAAGGGGAGGGAAACATAAGGGTCAGACTGAGTCCAAACCAAAGGCCAGGCAGAACAGCTTGGTCTTGCAGGCCCTGCAGAAAGATGTCAAGTCTCGCAGGGCCCTGGTCTCTTGTGACAGAGCGTTCCACCAGATCGGGGCCAGTACAGAAAAGGCCCTGGCCCTAGTTGAGACCAGTCTAACCACCTTGCGACCTGGGACCTCCAATATGTTGTCATTGAAGCCCTAAACCAAAGTGTGTGTGTGTTTGTTTGTGTGTGTTTGTTTTAACCAAGATTTCAGACAAGTTAAAAAAAACCTTTCAATATAGGCCTGCATGCCTTACCCCTATTACTTTCCCATGTATATCTTGTTAAAATTACTGTATGTATCAAGAAGACAGTAAACACTATTTTTCATTTTGTCTCAAAATAAGAGAATGGAAAACTGTGATTCCCCCCCCCAAAAAAAACACCCCACATGAGAATATTTCTTTGTGTGCTTATAGGAAGATGGGGGAAGAGAAAGAGAGGTGTTTTGTTTACTACCAGTTAGCAAAAACTCTGTCTACAAAAAACGGTACATTTTCTTATTTAACAATAAACAAACGTGGTGGCGTAATAGCAAGCTCAATAAAATCACACACCCTTGCGTAGAATTTTAATGTGCTCCATAATAGCTAATGACTTGAAGCTTTCTTTCTTTCTTTCTTTCTTTCTTTCTTTCTTTCTTTCTTTCTTTCTTTCTTTCTTTCTTTCATGTTTCTTGTCCAATACCTCTTAATTGGAAGAGGTTAAAAATAACAAGGCATTATACTGTAGTTTAGGAATGTATCGCCAGTCATGTAATTCCACCCCGTAGTGCGACATGTAGAAACAGAAATATTTTTGCAAGCCTCACACTGAAACATGTTTTTTTTTCCATAATAAAAATAGCTCTGTTAATGAAAAATTAAACCAAGGCTATTAGAAAGTAGATACTTGGTTTATTAACAGTTGATTACTTGGCATTCTGAAACTGCATCATGCATAGGTTACTCATTTAAAGGCTCCATTGGATCGGCCGGGGTTGTATCAGGCCAGCTTTGGTACCAGTTCTTAACCCGAGGTTTCACTGTAACTTGAATTCATTGGTTTGGGTCCTATCCTCCAGAGCAGGAGAAAACAAGCTTGCTCCATCGAACAGCTACCTCATCCAGCCCACCTGTGAACCTACACATGGGAGCCTGCAGTTATTTTGTACATATCTAATGCAATGTACGTGGGACGTGGATGGCGTTGTGGGTTAAACCACAGAGCCTAGGACTAGTTGATCAGAAGTTCGGCGGTTCAAATCCCCGCGACAGGGTGAGCTCCTGTTGCTCGGTCCCTGCTCCTGCCAACCTAGTAGTTCGAAAGCACGTCAAAGTGCAAGTAGATAAATAGGTACCGCTCCGGTGGGAAGGTAAACGGCATTTCTGTGCACTGCTCTGGTTCGCCAGAAGCTGCTTAGTCATGCTGGCCACATGACCCGGAAGCTGTACGCCGGCTCCCTTGGCCAATAAAGTGAGATGAGCGCCGCAACCCCAGAGTCGGTCACGACTGGACCTATGGTCAGGGGTCCCTTTACCTTTAATGCAATGCACATTGGCAAGTACACTGAATCCTTGCTTTGGGCCCCTGCTCTTCACCTCTGCAAATGCTCAAACTCAGAGCAAAAGGGAGAAACGAGCCAAGAGGAAGGCACGTTTGGCAAACCCTCTCTGTGATCAACTCCCACCCTGTGGGAGCGTAAGGACCCACTGTGGAAGGACGTGTGGTTCCAGAATTGGCCTCCACAGTCACTTATGGACTCACTGCTAAGACTGTGTTCATGGAAGACAATCTTACACAGTTATGAGGGATCGCCAAAGCAGAAGAGAATGGGCAAGAAACCCAGCAGTTACTATCCCCAGGGTTCTAGTATGAGATCACCATGCGAACCAGGTCTTAACAGCAGCTGAGAGAGATCACCACACTCGTGGTTAGCACATAACAGGTCTGTCAGACCATAACCCAGGCATAGGCAAACTCAGCCCTCCAGATGTTTTGGGACTACAACTCCCATCATCTCTAGCTAGGAGGACCAGTGGTCAGGGATAATGGGAATTGTAGTCCCAAAACATCTGGAGGGCCGAGTTTGCTTATGCCTGCCATAACCTGTCATGGATAAAAGTGTACTTCCATGTCCACAAAACTTTTCAGTTAATGCAGTTGATTCCTTTCCCATCCTGAACCTGGCGGGGCTCAGATACAATTCTAGAAAATGATTAGCAGTGACGGACACCTGAGCATGGCATATGAAAGCACCGGGGAGGTGATAACAAGGTAATCAGGAAATTGTGTCAATCAACACAGAACATTATCCACTGATTAAATCCGCAACACTGCAGGAAATGAAACGGGGAACAAAACAGGAAGAAAGAGCTGTTGTGGTCAAGTGTGCGCTAATAGATAGTTGTCCAGACAAGAGCAAGACATCACACAGAGGCTGAAGTAAACTTTCGGTTTTGAGAGACATCCCATACTGAGCTGAGCATGTTTGTGAAAGAGATGCAATCACTACGTCTAGGAAGTGAAGATCAGAAGCAGGTCGTTGTTCCAACCTCATCACAGTCGCACCTTGGTTCTCGAACGGAATCTGTCCCAGAAGTCGGTTCGACTTCAGGAAACGTTCAAAAACCGAGGCGCGGCTTCCGATTGTCCGCAGGAGCTTCCTGCACTCAACTGCGAAAGCCACGTCAGACGTTCGGGTTTCCAAAAAATGTTTGCAAACCAGAAAACACTCACTTCTGGGTTTGTTGCGTTCAGGAGCCAAAACGTTCGAGTCGCAAGGCATCTGAGAACCAAGGTACGACTGTATAGAAGGGGCATTGTCAGATAAGTATTACCTCCACATGAGCCCACTTCAAATGTTGTAGCACAAGTATATATAAAAAAGCCTTCTCATCCCTGTCTTTAGCCACCATTATTATGGCACACACGGGGTCCAGGATTTTTAATCTCCTGGGGAGATTAAAATGAATACAAAAGGCCCCACACTACGGAACCAATACTAGAATAAAGGAGAATATATGTGTCGATGAGACCAGGGCTGAAGCAGGGCTATTCTACTTTTGTTGACCTTTCACAGCTGCTTTTGTCTTGATCTCTTTTAAAGTTTAGGCTTAATACATTACTGTATAGCTTCTAACTTTAAAAGCAACAGCCTCAAAGTTATGTACAGCCGAGCAAGAAGAAACAAGGATAAAATCACACAAGCCTATACAAAACAGTTTTAACAATACAAAACAACGAATCATGGATGTTGCCCAAATTCCCAGGAAAACGAAAACATCTTTGCCTGGCATTGAAACAGGACAAGGTTGGTGGTAGGCTGGCCTCCTAGTGAGACTGTTGCTCTCCGATTTTTGTTGAATGTAACCATGTCTGTTTCCCCCTCTCTTCCTTAGTGGTGTGACAAGAGCGGTAGAGATTTCTGGGGAAGGCGGGCCGCTGGGGATCCATGTGGTACCATATCTTTCATCATTAAGCGGAAGGTAAGGATTTGCATTGCCATTCTGATGAAAACGAACTCGGTTGTTGTTGTTGTTGTTGTTTTGTCCCAAACACCTTATGCATAAGCATGTTGATTGTCGATACACTGAAGTGGCTCAAAGGTGTAGGGAAACAGGAGAAGATGTTTGTGTCCCTTTTGGTTCTCATAGAATTATGGAAGGGATCCCAAGGCTCATGTAGTCCAACCCCACCACAATGCAAGAATCTCAACTAGAACATACCGTATTTTTTGCTCTATAAGACTCACTTTTTCCCTCCTAAAAAGTAAGGGGAAATGTGTGTGTGTCTTATGGAGCGAATGCAGGCTGCGCAGCTATCCCAGAAGCCAGAACAGCAAGAGCAATCGCTGCTTATACTGCGCAGCGATCCCTCTTGCTGTTCTGGCTTCTGAGATTCAGAATATTTTTTTTTCTTGTTTTCCTCCTCCAAAAACTAGGTGTGTCTTGTGGTCTGGTGCATCTTATAGAGTGAAAAGTATGGTACATGACAGATCCACCATATATGTGGATTTAAGCCATCCACCTCTGCTTAAAAACCTCCAAGGAAGGAGAGTCCACAACCACAACAAGAGCTGTTCGACAGTGGAATTTGCTGCCAAGGAGTGTGGTGGAGTCTCCTTCTTTGGAGGTCTTTAAGCAGAGGCTTGACAACCATATGTCAGGAGTGCTCTGATGGTGTTTCCTGCTTGGCAGGGGGTTGGATTCGATGGCCCTTGTGGTCTATTCCAACTCTATGATTCTATGATTCTTACTGTCAGAAAGTTCTTCCGGGTATTTACTAGGAATCTCCTTACTTGGAACATGAACCCATTAGTTTGGGTCCTATCCTCCTCAGGAGCTGGAGGAAGCAAGCTTTCTCCATCCTCTGTTTGACAGCCCTTTAGGTATTTGAAGATGGCTGTCATATCTCCTCTCCGCTTCCTCTTTACCAGACTAAACATATCCAGTTCCCTCAACTGTTCCTCATAAGGCTTGGTTTTCAGACCCTTGGTCATCTTGGTTGCCCTCCTCGCCACACATTCCAGCTTGTCAACATCCTTCTTACATTGTGGCACCCGGAACAGGATTCCACCTGTCTCTCATATCTGCGCTCCTTACTCCTTAAATAGAAACCAGCTTGACGGCATCTAAATTAAATTATGTTCCCCCTTGCAGAACATTTTGTCATATAAAGAAAATACCATATGTTTTTCTTCTTCTTGATTATCCTATTTTTGATCATTTTAATATGGTGGTCAGCTGTTGAGCACATGCGTTAAACTAAGAGATTCAAACCTTTGCACCTCAGTTTAAGACTTATCAACATTTTTACTCCAGGGTATGGTTTTCATGATGTATTTGGTCTGTTATGAAACAACATTTCCTAATCTCTTAACCATGGTCTTGCATGCTTCCTTTCCCTCTTGTGTAAATTCCCTCCCTTTGACAGCATTAGCCGTCATGTTGAATTACGCCCCAGTACTAGCGCTCATCACGGGTAGCTTGAATCTAGAGTTTGAAACGTAAGTTTTGAAGCTGTTTTGCAAATGCCAACTACTGTATTTTTTGTTCTATAGAATGCACCCGACCATAGGACGCACCTTGTTTTAGAGGGGGGAACAAGAAAAAAAAATCTCCTCCTCTCTGCTCAGCACCCCTTCAGCGAAGCGGCAGGAGAAACGGAGCCCCTTCCATTTCTCCTCCCGCTTGGCTGAAGGGGCGCTGCGCAGCTCTCCCTCTCTGCTGAAGCCAGGAGAGTCTTGCTCTCCCGGCTTCAGCAAAAGGAACCCGAAGCCTCCGGAGCGCAGCAGGACCTTGGGAGCCGCCCATAATGGCTGGGGCAACCCAGTCAGATGGGTGGCATAAAAATTATTGCTATTACTACTATTACTATTAGTTTGTTGGGACCACTCCTGTATAGTTGTCAGTCTTATGGATGACAAATGGTGTCAAGGACTGGCTGGACAAAGAGGAGTGATTGGGGGGGGCACCAGCCAGTGAACCCCCCCAAAGGGAACCCCCCGAGGAGGAAGGCTCTGATTAGTGGTGGGACACTGAGGACAGATCGGAGGGTGAAGATTGGGCGCTCATCTTGCTAATTTACTGGCCGAGGGAGCCGACGTTTGTCCGCAGACAGTTTTTCTGGGTCATGTGGCCAGCATGACTGAGCTGCTGCTAGCAAAACCAGAGCAGCGCACGGAAACGCCGTTTACCTTCCCGCCGGAGTGGTACCTATTTATCTACTTGCACTGTTGTGCTTTCAAACTGCTAGGTTGGCAGGAGCAGGGACCGAGCAATGGGAGCTCACCCCATCGCAGGGGATTCGAACCACCGACCTTCCCATCGGCAACCCTAGGCTCTGTGGTTTAGACCCCAGCGTCACCCGCGATCCTTCCAAAAAGCCTACTCTGGATTAATTTATCTGTTCTTTAATATTTTTGTTGACAAATGCCGTGAGACCTGACTTGGCAAAGTTGCTTCTTTGAAAGGCAAGCAGAATATTTGCATAACTGTCTTGAATGAAAGATTTCAGTGACATTTAGCTGAATTTACTACTATTTTTGCGGAACATTTGTATTTGAAACAAATTGAGCATATTTACAAGTTCGAATTGTATAGGTAATTGTATAGGTTGGCTGTGAATAGATTTTAAATTGGACAAGGGAGGTCATTAAGTTTTTTGAGCTCTTTACTCTTTAATACTGAGAAGTATGTTGGGGAATTCTTTATGTTAATACTAAAAGGTTTTTTGACACACACACACACATACACCCCGCCAAATATTACTGATAAAAATAGTTGTTTAAGCGTTTGTGTCAACTTTTAAATTCTTTGAGTTAGGTGCTGGTGCACAATCAGCATCCTACTTCTGTCTTTTCACTTAATTGAAATAATTTAAATTATATATGTTTATACGTATATAAATGTTACGCAATAAAAGAGAGGAAATTAAAAATTTAAAAACACAATAAAATGATGTTAATGTTGAGATGCTACATAATAAAAACAAGGAAGTAATGGGTTTATGTTGCCAGAAAACACTTAACTCAATCCATATGTCTATATTCCACATCTCAAATAAGTATTTAAGACCAGAGGCTATCATATAAAACTATTGGGTTATTATGTTGGTTACAGTAGGCTTTGTATAACATGTAACTTTGAAAATATCCTTGCTTCTGTTATTTTGTTTTATTCAAACCGTGATTAAGTTTACTTTTGATGTCTTATACTGCATTGAAGTGGAACTTCCTGGTGATAACCACACAAAAATTCATTTGAAAATTATCTTGAAAGAATTCAGAATCAGAGTATAAATGCAGAATAGATAAGTATAGCAGACATTCTTACTCAAAAAAATAAACGCAAACAATTCATTTGAAACATTTCCTTAAATATTCAGAATTGGAGTATAAATGTAGAATAGACAAGTATTAACAGACAGTCTCACTAAAAAAATAAACAATCAACATTATCAAATGAGATGTTTTATGCGAAGTGATTCATAAATGAATTGAAATGAAGTACTGTATTTTTCGCTCTATAGGACGCACTTTCTCCCCTCCAAAAATTAAGGGGAAATGTGTGTGCATCCTATGGAGTGAATGCAGGCTCCTTGGCTTCAGCGATAGCAACGCGAAACCTCCGAAGCGCAGAGGGAGCGCTCCCTCCATGCTCCGGAGGCTTCGAGTTCCTTTTGCTAAAGACAGGAGGGCAGGACTCTCCTGGCTTCAGCGAAAGTTACCTCAAGCCTCTGGAGCGCCGTGGGAACTCCTGCTGCGTTCCGGAGGCTTCGGGTTCCTGTCGCTGAAGCCTAGAGAGCAAGAGTCCCACCACGCTCCGGAGGCTGCGGGTTCCTTTCGCTGAAGCCTGGAGAGCAAGAGGGGTCGGTGCGCACCCGCTGCGCTCCAGAGGCTTCGGGTTGCCATCACTTAAGGTGAAGGCAATGTGGGAGAGGGAGAGCTGCGCAGCGCCCCTTCAGCGAAGCGGGAGGAGAAATGGAAGGGGCTCCATTACTCCTGCCGCTTCACTGAAGGGGCGCTGGTCAGAGAGGGGGAGATTTTTTTTTCTTGTTCTCCCCCTCTAAAACAAGGTGCGTCCTATGGTCGGGTGCATCCTATAGAGCGAAAAATGCAGTAAATGATGAAAAAGGTAAGCTATACTAATTTACTGACATTTGGAAATGTCTGCTTTTCCTGATGTACCTGTTTCTTCCCCATTAGTGGTGTGTGTGTGTGTGTGTGTGTGTGTATTCCCTCCAGGGGCCAACGAGATGCCTTCTGGTAATAGTTGCAAGCGGGACTTTAAAATTCAATACCTGATTTAGCTAACTCCAAATAACTTACTTTGCATTCCTACCTTCAGGATACTCGGGCTTTATATCCGTGGCATTGAGGAGAACAGCCGAACTAAGAGGGATGGACTTTTACTTGAAAATGAGTGTATTGTGAAAATTAACGACACAGAACTTGCAGATAAAACCTTTGCACAGTGAGTTTTGCCGAATTGTTTTATTCTGTTAACCTGAGGAATTTATGCAGCGCACATCAATCCAGTCAGTTTTACAATGTTGGCTATGATTAAAATACTACAATTCTGCCTCGGAAGCTTATGAAGTAAAATAAAATAAAATAAATAAAATTCTAGTAGCGTCACATTGGGGATAGAATATCTGATCTTCTGTTGCTGTAGAGACTGACTGTAAGTGGAATGTTTTATTAGCCTCTTGGGAAAGTGCTATTTAATAATCCAACTAAGAGACTCATATGGGACACGGGTGGCGCTGTGGGTTAAACCACAGAGCCTAGGACTTGCCGATCAGAAGGTCGGCGGTTCGAATCCCCGCGATGGGGTGAGCTCCCGTTGCTTGGTCCCTGCTCCTGCCAACCTAGCAGTTCAAAAGCACGTCAAAGTGCAAGCAGATAAATAGGTACTGCTCCAGCAGGAAGGTAAACGGCGTTTCCGTGCGCTGCTCTGGTTCGCCAGAAGCGGCTTAGTCATGCTGGCCACATGACCCGGAAGCTGTACGCCGGCTCCCTCGGCCAATAAAGTGAGATGAGCGCCGCAACCCCAGAGTCGGCCATGACTGGACCTAATGGTCAAGAGTCCCTTTACCTTTTTATGAGGGAAATGGGCCCCCTCAATATTCCATGACAATGTATACATGTCGTGCAACGTGCTGATGTCATGTGTGCAAGCCATGAGGCGTGTGCACAACACATCAACATGTTGTGCGCACTGGCACCTCAGTAATGGGGCAAGCCAGCACGCTTGCTATAGGTAGCTTAGTAGGCTAGATATTTATTTCTGATAGAATTTTTAGAATTTGTTAGATCTTTTCATTACTTTTAAAAGCATAGCCAGTTACTTTACTATTTTTTGTGTTCAAGGAATTTCTGCTGATTTATCTCTTCTTCTTCTTCTTCTTCTTATTATTATTATTATTTGCGGGTCTTATAATAATTACGGATACAGCATTTACCAGAATTTTAGATTTTTAAAGAAGTGCTTTAAAATATTTCCCCCCCAATTATTCATGCAGTAGTTTTTGAAATTATAATGCTCATGTGTAAAAATGTAAAGTGATTTATTCATAAAGCACATATTTATTAAATATGGTGGATGGTGACATCCCAGAAGATATATATTCTACCATAAGAAATATGAATTTACTTTTTCTCTTGCTTAGTGATCTGTGTATTGTTGCGAGCTCCTTTTTTTTGTTTCTTGTATTTTTAACTTTGTTTTTTTAAATAATTCCATGTGAACAAAAAAAGAAGACTCTCTCTCTCAACACACTCAAAAAGCAAAGCGTTTGCTGTGGTGAAGGATGTGTTTTGTGTAAAACTAAAATAGGTCTTTCTTTGGAACTACTGATTTTTATTCACATCAAAATGTTTAATTTTGTGTGTGTGTGTGTATGTATATGTATATATATATATATATGTGTGTGTGTGTGTGTGTGTGTGTATGTATATGTGTATATGTATATGTTTGTGTGTGTATATATATGTATATATGTATACAGTGGTACCTCTGGTTAAGTACTTAATTCGTTCCGGAGGTCCGTTCTTAACCTGAAACTGTTCTTAACCTGAGGCACCACTTTAGCCAATGGGGCCTCCTGCTGCCACTGCGCTGCCACTGCACAATTTCTGTTCTCATCCTGAAGCAAAGTTCTTAACCCGAGGTACTGTTTCTGGGTTAGCGGAGTCTGTAACCTGAAGCATATGTAACCTGAAGCGTATGTAACCTGAGGTACCACTGTGTGTGTGTGTGTGTGTGTGTGTGTGTATGTGTGTGTGTGTGTGTGTGTGTGTATGAACACACAAGTTGCACACATAGTAGTACTTTGGGGAGTCATTGTGTTGCAGTGGGTACAGTCCTGGGGTTTGTGTGGAAATCCCTGTTCCTCTATGGTGCTCCCTTGATAACAATAGGTCCTTCTATCTCAGTGAGGAATGCTTATCTCACAGTTTTGAGCAGAAAATGAGGCTAGAGCTCTGTAAACTGAAGGGGGAATGAAGTGCCATAAAAGTGGGAAATAACAAAGATTTTTATCAAAGTACGCCAGCTGCAAAGTGACAACAATTTCTTACAAGAACGAAAAGGAACTCTTTGGAAAGGATCTTTAAAAGCCTTTTCCGCAAAGCAGCTTCCAAGTTGTCCCCGTGTGCGTTTAGCATGGCTTACATTTTCCAGATCTTCATACGTTTCTCCTGTATTTTGTTTTCTCAAGAGCGCAAGATATCTTTCGGCTAGCCATGAAATACCAGACTATCGTCTTGGAAGTGGTTCCTCCGCACAGCCGTGAACAATATGAAAAGTCCGCCATCGCACCTTTATATCCAGCAGATAACGCGGAACATGTTTCGAGAGCAAAGGTTCCACCTCCCATCTATGCAAAGCCAATGACAAGGGAAGTGGACTTGTCCGGAACAAACCACTTGGAGTCGGGGGTGCATCCTGCCAAGAGTCCCAACTTTTCAAGAGTTAGTAGGAAGCCATCATCACCCACCTTATCGCCCCTGATGGGTTTTGGCAGCAAGAAGAATGCAAAACGGATAAGGATAGATCTCAAGAAAGGTCTGTTAAACCTCCCCCTGATGTTTTTTAAAATGACTTTCATATCTAGTGGTACCTTGGCTCTCAAACTTACCGTATTCTCTATAAGACACAGTTTTCCCACTCTTAAAAAGTAAGGGGAAATGTGTGTGCGTCTTATGGAGCGAATGCAGGCTGCGAGGCTAAGCCAGAAGCCAAAACAGCTAGAGAGAGCATTGCACAGCGCTCCCTCTAGCTGTTCTAGCTTCTGCCTTAGCGGTGTGAAGCCTCCGCAGGGCAGCGGGGAGCCTTCACCCCGCTGCCCTGAGGAGGCTTCATGCGGCTATCCCTGGCTTTTGTGGGAGGTGGGGGGAAAGCTAGGAGGCTTGTTTTTGCTGAAGCCCATGAGGGCAAGAGGGGATCGGTGCTCACTAATCCTGCTTGCTCTCCTGGCTTCAGGGATAGCCCCGCAAAGTCTCCTGAGTGAAGAGCAATAAGCTCTCCCTCTTAGTTCAGGAGGCTTTGCATTGCTTTCTTATTTCTTGTTTTCCTCCCCTAAAAACTAGGTGCCTCTTATGGTCCGGTGCGTCTAATAGAGCAGAAAATACGGTGATCCGTTCCGGAAGTCCGTTCCAAAACCAAAGCGTTCCCAAACCAAGGCACACTTTCCCATAGAAAGTAATGCAAAAGGGATTAATCCGTTCCAAACTTTTAAAAACAATCCCTAAAACAGAAATTTCAAATGAATTTTACGATCGAATGAGACCGTTGATCCAGAAAACGAAAGCAATAAACAATGTACTGCAGACACACAATCAATCAATCAGTAGCTGAACTGGGTTCCACGCAGTCACAAAAACAAACAAAAAAGCCGCAAAAACAAAAACGCAAAATAAATAGCAGAAAGAGACAGACTTCAGTGTAACACTCAAAACAGAATTGTGGCATTCAAAATGGAAGTGTATCACCCAAAACAGAGCACGTCCAGCTTCTGAAGAAAATTCGCAAACTGGAACACTTTCTTCCAGGTTTGCAGTGTTTGGGTTCTAAGTTGTTTGAGTACTAAGGCGTTTGAGAACCAAGGTACCGCTGTATTTGTGCTCATACTTGATTAAGGTGCTGCAAAAGTAGTGTGAGATTCATATATTTTTGTGTGTGTCTTCACTTTAGGGCCTGAAGGACTTGGTTTCACTGTGGTTACCAGAGACTCCTCAGTTCATGGTCCAGGTCCTATATTTGTGAAAAGCATTTTACCTCGTGGCGCAGCAGTTAAAGATGGCCGCTTGCAGTCAGGAGACAGAATACTGGAGGTTTGGAAAATGTTCATTTGCAGCTCACCACAAAAAGTTATTTTTTAGTGGGTTTAAGTGCAGTGGATCATTTTTTAAAAAAACCAATTGATATTAATACTTGGAGTAGATCCATTCAAGTAAATGGACGCAATAAGCTTAGGTCCATTAATTTCATTGGGTATACTCTGCGTAGATAATAGGGTACCAGATGTGTGCATTTTAGGGCACTTCTTAATGTTGACTAACAGAGCATGTGGTGAAAGGGAACTTTCTCGTTTACTCAAAGCACACCAGTTGATACATTCTCTTCTAATTCTTAATTTAGAAGAATTAAGAATTAATTCTTGCTTGTTAGCTGCCCTGAGCCTGGCCTTGGCTGGGGAGGGGAGGGTATATAAGAAAATATTATTATTATTATTATTATTATTATTATTATTATTATTATTATTATTTTGAGGGTTATGGAATCTGATGCCTGAGGACTAGTGAGATTTAGGTTTCCATACAGCTTGGGGTCAGGGCTGGGTTGCTGTTCAAGGAACACAAAAGTCTCATTGGGTACATGAAATTAGTTGTGTGGCTACCAATTTCATGAACCTGAATTATGTGCCTGTATTGGAAGTGCTCTTTACTGGTTTTATTTCTTCACTTTAAATCTTCCAGACAGTTACTACGTAAAATATAGGGGCCCTTTTCTCCCAGAAGCCAGTAAAACTTGCTCTCACTCCATGTTTTAATAACAAAGTGCTTGCAAATTAGAGCGCCAGTCCTAAGACCTTGACCTTAACACTGCCATTTTCATAGCAGCTACAAGAAAGATGTTGAGATACTTTAGCAAATAATCCTGTTCAGTCTAAGCCCATGGGTAGGCAAACTAAGGCCCGGGGGCCGGATCCGGCCCAATCGCCTTCTAAATCCGGCCTGAGGACGGTCTGGAAATCAGCGTTTTTACATGAGTAGAATGTGTCCTTTTATTTGAAATGCATCTCTGGGTTATTTGTGGGGCATAGGAATTCGTTCATTTCCACCCCCAAAAAAATATAGTCCAGCCCCCCACAAGGTCTGAGGGACAGTGGACCGGCCCCCTGCTGAAAAAGTTTGCTGACCCCGGTCTAAGCTACGCTGGTGAGAGTTGCCAGACAGTTTGCAAAACTCTGGGGAGTTGTTATGCGTTCCCTTTGTTATGTGGTAGGGAACTGTTGTTCCCTGTTGTACCTTCTAAGTTAGACCAATTTCATTTTGGTCAGAAGGCCCCATTGTGTACATGTGTGTGTAAGCAACCAACCAAGACTGCACACATAAGGTACAAGTGTCCTCCCCACTTAGGCACAATCGACTCGCACGTGGCCACATATATGTGTAGTTAAATAATTCAGTAATTTGTATACCTGAAGGAGCGTCTCCGCCCCTATCGTTCAGCCCGGACACTGAGATCGAGCGCCGAGGGCCTTCTGGCGGTTCCCTCATTGCGAGAAGTGAGGTTACAGGGAACCAGGCAGAGGGCCTTCTCGGTGGTGGCACCCTCCCTTCAGATGTGAAGGAAATAAGCAGCTATCCTATCTTTAAAAGACATCTGAAGGCAGCCCTGTTTAGGGAAGTTTTTAATATTTAATGCTGTACTGCTTTTAACACTTGATTGGGAGCCACCCAGAGTGGCTGAGGAAACTCAGCCAGATGGGCGGGGTATAAATAATAAATTATTATTTTAAAGGTACCCCTGCCCGTACGGGCCAGTCTTGACAGACTCTAGGGTTGTGCGCTCATCTCACTCTAGAGGCCGGGAGCCAGCGCTGTCCACAGACACTTCCGGGTCACGTGGCCAGCGTAACGAAGCTGCTCTGGCGAACCGGCACCAGAGCAGCACACGGAAACGCCGCTTACCTTCCCGCTGGTAAGCGGTCCCTATTTATCTACTTGCACTTAAGGGTGCTTTCGAACTGCTAGGTGGGCAGGAGCTGGGACCGAACAACGGGAGCTCACCCCGCCGCGGGGATTCGAACCGCCGACCATGCGATCGGCAAGTCCTAGGCGCTGAGGTTTTACCCACAGCGCCACCCGCATCCCTAAATTATTATTACTATTACTATTATTATTATTATTCAAACCTGGAAATGGAGGGAGCAGGGGCGGAGAAAGGGGATGCATTGGGGCAGTCCGCCCCAGGTGTCACCACTCGGGGGTGACAAAATCCCGGGTGGCACTCACTGTGGGGCCTGTAGCGCACCCAAGCCATGCGTCTCTCCTGGGAATGACGTGGTTGGTTGGGCGCCCGCTGCCTCCCCCTCAGCTCTAGGGCAGCTGAGTGGGGGGAGGCAGGTAGACTCCTCGGAAGCCCCGCGGAACGTCTTGCCCCGGCTGGCTCCACCCCATGGGCAGCTGGCCCCGCCCCCAGGCCCCGCCCCAGGTGTCCGATTGGCTTGCTCTGCCACTGGGCAGGAGAGAGCTGGAGGGTCCTCACGACTCACGAGGAGACTCTCCCCAGAGGCTAAAGAGGACATCAGTGAGGGCAGGCTTTGCTTACGCTGCTCAGTCTCCCTGCCTAAGAGCTCATGCGCAGAATAGTGCATGCCCCAAAGCTTTGAAATATTTAGGATACATAATTTTTGGTATGGGTTGAAGAGAGAGCAGTAGAGAACGTGTCTAAACGGAGTTTAGAGGGTCTCCCACATTGCACAATTTCACTTATGCATGCGGGGGCCTGGAATATAAACCCCGCAGAAGTAGCGGGACACCTGTACTTGATGTTACTTCATCATGACCACCTGAGTTTAGTAAGACCTCTTCCAAGTGTATCACACACACACAAGCCAAGTTCTTTTTTTCCTTTTTCCCTCCCCCCTCATTCTCTTATTTACATTTTATACATTCTTTTTATTGATTGATTGATTTTGACAAAGTAATAATCATAAATAAATAAGAGCAAAAATGTGCACCCCACCACTGAGACCATTCCATTGTAACTACCCAACCTCCCAAAATTTCAACACCTCTTGCGATGGTTTGACCCCTTTCTGTGTTAACAGTACAAATTCTACAAACACTTTCCCTATCTCCTCCAAAATCATTTCTCCTTCATATTCCCCATCCTACCTTAATGGCACATGTTAATTTATCAACAAACCAAGTTCTGATCTAGTGAAGGCTAAGTGGTGCACTGAATTCTGCAATGCACACACACTTAGGAGGCTGTAGTGATGAAAATATTCTGTTCTGTTCTGGGCCAGATCCAGACATCCATTAATTCAACAGCCAGTGAGGGTGTAACACTTGCGTCCAACACTGTTAATAGGGCAGACTGCACTCATAAAGTTTCAGTAGGATATATTTCAAAACCTTCTGGTTAATTCCTCTTTTCCCCCCTCTGAATCTTTTAGGTGAATGGCAGAGACATCACTGGCAGAACCCAGGAGGAGCTTGTCAGTATGCTGAGGACCACAAAGCAAGGAGAGATCGTCTCCCTCACCATCGCTCGCCAGGAGGAAAGTTTTCTGCCCAGAGAACTGGTAATAGTCTTTGCATAGCAGAGTCCACAGGAGAAATATTTCAGTTAATCAGACGGCTGACATGGGAAATCTAATTTGAGAAGTCAGTGTTTCTTACGACATCGGTAACTTGATGCCACAAGGCCCGTAACAGTTAGATTTTAACTTACTACATTTTGTCTTTATACTAGAAGAGGTACAATCAGCACAACCAACAAGATACATGCATGAATTAAGCTGTATCTAAAATCAGAGGGTGAAATCTAGTGGGATATTGATGGGGAGCAGATTTTGTGTGTAGGGAGGGGGGGGGAGAGGAAACCATTACACAAGTGGATTTTCATTGTGCAGGTGGGCGGAAATCATTAGCTGTCTCCCAGAGAATGACTAAAACTATATTATCCTTCATAAAGAAAAAAGAAATTAATCTGAAGCACAATTTCAAAGCTGGACATTTATGCCTTGTGAAATTACCATTCTAATGATGATGGTTAATAGCGAGTTTCTCTGTCGTCCGGGGTGATGACAAAATACATGGCAGTGTACTTTAGTAATATAAATCTCCTCAATTAAATGAGTCCAGACAATTTATTTCATTTATCTGACCCTTCCTTCAAGGACAAGAGAGTGCAAACCCTGCAAAGTTAGGTTGGCATCTTTGAGAGTGACAGCTCTGAGTTCAGCCTAGTTGACGAGAGATTTGAAGCTGGGTTTCCCCCTGTCCTAATGCCACATTCTGACCACTGCAACATACTGGGTAGTATTCAACAAAGTTTTGCTCAGAGTAGACCCATTGGAATTAATGGGCCTAACTTCAGGCTTCGCCACACCTCCATTTCTCCCAGAGTCAGATTGGGGGGGGGGGGGATAATGATCTTTTGTTCTGTTGGATAGTGTTTGTGTGGGGATTTTATGTGAGTCACGTGGGTACGCTCTTTATTTATTTATATATACAGTGGTACCTTGGTTCTCGAACTTAATCCATTCCCGGAGTCTGTTCGACTCCCAAAACCGTTCGAAAACCAAGGCACGGCTTCTAATTGGTTGCAGGAGCTTCCTGCAGTCAAGCGGAAGTCACGCCGGAAATTCGGTTTCTGAAAAACATTCGGAAACCGGAACACTTACTTCTGGGTTTGCGGCATTCGGGAGCCGATTTGTTTGGCAACTGAGCCGTTTGATAACCAAGGTACGACTGTATATTTATTTTTGTTGGCATTGTGAGAGATACGAGGGTCCAGAGCTTGGTTGGTTATTTTTGGTTAGTTGCAGTATGGTTGGTTTGTTTGTGTGAGGGGTGTGTGCCATATTAGTCATATTGATTTTTATGCTGTTGGGGGGATAGATCATTTTCTTGTGCTGTATAGGCTTCGTTATTTTGCAGGACTGATGTCTAAAAGGGGTGGATTTTGGGGCATTCCCACCACATGTGGAGGTATGTGCCTGTAGAGGTGCAGCCTCTCTAGCATTTAGGTGACATGGTGTTAGGTACCATCTATATTATAATAATAATAATTAATAATAATAATAATAATAATAATAATATTTATTTATACCCCGCCCTCCCCAGCCAAGGCCGGGCTCAGAGCAGCTTACAAGCAATAATAAAAACAAGTTGAATGATTACAACTTAAAAACAAAATTAAAATACAACATTAAAATATTGAAACATTAAAATATTAAAATGTAGCCTCATCACAGGAGAAGGAAAGGAAAAAAGAAAGAGAGGGAGGGAGGGAATCAAACTGGCTCCAAGCCAAAGGCCAGGCGGAAAAACTCTGTCTTACAGGCCCTGCAGAAAGAAATCAGATCCTGCAGGGCCCTGGTCTCATGAGGCAGAGCGTTCCACCAAGCCGGAGCCAGAGTTGAAAAGGCCCTGGCTCTGGTTGAAGCCAATCTAACTTCCTTAGGGCCCGGGACCATAAATAAGTTTCAAAGTGAGTTCCCTTGTTTCGGCTGAGATGGATTTAAAAGGTGGTTTAGACCACAGCTTAGACCATTGGGTAGGGTTTATTTCGTAACCTATGTCATGCTCTCATTGGTCATTGTGGTGAGGGGGTTTGTAGGATCTTGGAGTAGTATTTTAGCCTCTAGACATTTTAAAGTGATTTTAAAAAGTATCTTAAATATTTAATAGTTTCTTAGTCACCAATTTGGCAACGATATATTGCTGAATGATACTACAAAATTAGAGGATTGTTTAATTTTAAAATATCTTTTTACCAAAGAAATGCATAAAGAGGGGTTTTCAATATATAGAAGGTACTTTTCTGGAATATATATCTGTTGTCACAGAAACAAACGTAACCTCTCTGGTCCCCTCCCTGTTATCTTGATGGATGTGTCTACTTTGTTATTTTTTAACTCAAAATCCAGTAGGATAAAGGAAGGACAGAACTTCCTGCCTTTGTCTAATTTTCTCCTCTTGGAAGAAAAGAAAAACTGCCTTTGTTTTCTGGCTCCAAGAACTTACTTTTCGTTTCATCAAGAACTTTATTTTAACTCGGTGTTGCACCTTCTAGCTTCACGCAATGCAGAAATGACCACCCGGAGTCTGTGTTTCCCCACATTTCCCCCTTTTGTTTACTTTTAGCACTCTTATCGTTGATGGCTGGCTGTTTTGGCAATGAGAACCCACCTTTGGCTGGTCGGCTGGTCAGTTGGTTGGCCAGCATACAGGAAAGCCCTAACATAGGTCGAATTGTTGAGAAATGACCCCCTTATCTTTTCACAGCTTCTGCCGCTGCTTCCTGAACACTTGTGTCTAGATAAGGCTACAGGCAGTAAGCGTGCCGAGCTGTGTGGGTTTTGGTAGTGAAGCTTTCCTTTGTCGTTTGCTTGCTCGAATGCTATTGCAGGGCTTTTAGCATCATTTATAATGCCCCATATTGTCAATTTCCCCATTCAACAGCTTCCCTTGAGAGAGGGAAGGATGCACAGGTGGGGAGGCCTCATAGCAGGTACAGTGGTGCCTTGCAAGACGAAATTAATCCGTTCCGCGAGTCTCTTTGTCTTGCGGTTTTTTCGTCTTGCGAAGCACGGCTATTAGCGGCGCGGCTTAGCGGCTATTAGCGGCTTAGTGGCTTTAAGAAAAAGGAAACAAACTCGCAAGAACTCACAAGACGTTTCGTCTTGCGAAGCAAGCCCATAGGGAAATTCGTTTTGCGGAACGACTCAAAAAACGGAAAACCCTTTCGTCTAGCGAGTTTTTCGTCTTGCGAGGCATTCGTCTTGCGGGGCATCACTGTATAATATATGTATTTTAATGCATACTGTTTTGGTAGGTCACTCCACAACTACATGACACTGTGTGTTCAGTAGTCGACTGGCAGAAACAATGGTTTGCTTGATTTTGAGAGTGTGTTTTCAAACTTGTGCCATCTGAAATGAGTCTGACTAAAGCTTCTCCCCTTGGGAAAAAATCATAATGTTGACAATGCTACTCTTGGTTTTCTTCCTTAAATATTGCATTATTATTTCCCTTGGCTATCGCGGAACTAATATAAACCTTTACAAAAGAAGCCAATGACAAGTCCTAGTTTACAGGAGGTCACTTGTGGATTCTGTTGAATAACTTTCTGTCTCCTGGAGTACAATTTGGTCTGGTGTATAGTTATGGTGGACAGCGGTGGAGCAAGCCGATCGGGCGCCTGGGGTGGCGCTCATGCCCTGCTCCCAGGGGCGCAGCCAGCCGCCCGTAGGGTGGGGCGAGCTGGGGCAGGATGATCCGTGGGGCCTCCAAGGAGTCTGCCTACCTCCCCCCACCCAGCCGCCCTACATCTGGGGGCCTGAAGGGTCTTCACCTGTGCTAGATCCTCAGGTGCAGGCACCAGCTGAGTCTGCTCTGGCTCCTGAGGTGATGGAGGATCCATTGCCTGCAGGTGCTCCACTCTCAGCCCCGTCAGAGGAAGCTGAGGTTGCCTCTGGGTCCGGTCACCCTCCAGCCTCTCCTGAGCTGCAGAGGCTCAGGGCAGAGAGGCGGAGGGAACTAAGTTCCCGCAGGACGAGTGCTCGCCTCCAGGCCAGGAGAGGCGAGTCACCTGTGGACCGGGGCCGCCCTATGCCTCGGGGCAGATAAAAGCCAGCCAGCCCCAGTCCCAAGTTACGGGAGCGACATTGTTGGTTGCTAGTTCCTGCCCGAACCCTGTCCTGCTTTCCTGCCTGAGCTCCTGACCCACCCTGGCTCCCTGCTTGCATGCCTGTTCCTGACTTCACCCAACTCCCTGCTCTGCACTCAGCTTCAGCTAATACGGACTGCCTCTGTGTTGCATCTTTGACCACGGACCGGACTTGGACCTCGCCTCTTGGGTAACCCATGGGACCAGCACAGGTGTGCTGCAGGCCCCGCAGTGAATGCCGCCAAGCATTTTGTCACCCTCCTGAGTGGTGACACCCGGGGTGGCCCACACCCCACCGTACCCCCTTCCTCCGCCCCTGATGGTGGACACAAATGATCTATGAGGATGTTCTATTAAGCACAGCACACCAGGATCTGCGTATGAGCGACTGTGCAAGTTTCCCCAATGCAGCCTCTTGTAGTCATGGTTGAGTCCTAGAATTTCATGTGTAGCATGCAATGGGAAAACAAGGGTGGACAAAAACTCCCTTGGCCCCAATTTAGGGGAAACCAGCAGTTTGGGCCCCTTGGGCAAAGGCTTCCCTTATTAGACTGCATCCATATGGCTGCAGCATGGCAGTCCCAACTTTTTGTAGATAATGTAGCTCCAGAGAATGTGTTGCAGGAACCACAGGAAGAAAACAACCACCACCAGTCCAGACTTCCGTTCTTGTGTCAGCCTTCTGTTTAAGAGTACTATATGAAATATTGCAATCACAAGGTCATCATTTGCAGTTTTCCTGGGCATCTGCCAAACACCTGTAGCAATTCATCTCCCGCTGACCCTGAAACAATTTGGGTGACCCACAGTTCTTAAGTATGTGTGCATAAGGCTGATACCAATTCTAGTCTCGGACGGGGGCGTTTCTGAAAGCAGCCTGAATTTGCCATATGGTTTTATGACTCT